AGTGGTACTTTATTCTGGAGAACTGCCACTCCCGTGTGCCAGCTCTAACCTTAACCCTGCTGCCAGTCACAGCCCTACCCAAGCAGGCTGGCTCCTAGCCCGGCTAGCCTACACCCCTGGGGCAGCACTGGCGCAGCACTGGAGTCTTAACCAATTAGAGATCACTCTGTTTTTTTTTTTTTTTTTTCCAGTACCGGGAATCGAACTCATGACTTTGCACTTGCCAGTCAGGCACTGTGCCACTGAGCTAAATCCCCAGCCCCTAGAGATCACTCTGGAAACACTCCTCACTCGGTCCTCTCAGGAGCACAAGAGACAGAATCTGAGCCCAGAGCGCCCTGGTCCGGCCTCAGGCAGAGTGACAGTGGAGAGCACAAATCCATCGTGTGAGGACATGTTTGGGAAAGAGGGAGTAAGAAGCTTCTGGTGAAGGTCAAGACCTGGGGTCCCTCTCTTCTCCTGACCTTCTCATGCTGTGGTTATTAAAAACCCATAAATTTCCCTGTAAGCTTATGCTGGTTTGAGTTGGTAGAGGGAGTGCTGGGTCCACCCAAACATCTCACCTTCATCAGCCTGAGAGTTGTTTCAGAGCTAGTAAAGCTCTGTGATAGGAAAAGCCACCCTGTTTCTCGCCCCTCCTGGGGCTAAGTTTTCTAGACTAACTGTCTTGAATTCCAGGAGATAACCAAGACAACATGAAGTCACACATGAATAAATTGATTTTGTACATCCCTGATTCGCTTTGAATGCTTTTCACTGTGGGAAATATAAAACTTAAAAATAAACTGGTTTAAGCAAGGAAATGCTTAATTTTGTTCCTACCTCAAAATTTTGCTCCTACCTCAAACTTTTGTTCCAGCCTCAGTGGTGAGCCCAGAGTAGTGCGAGCCCAGGAGTGGTACTTTCAGCCACTCAAGGATGCTTTATCTCCTTGTTTTGACATAACACCGCTGGCTTCTTTTAAAGTCCCCTTCCCCTTGAGGGCACACACGGCTGACTGTCAGGTGCGACTGGACTCTGTCATAACCTATGTCCTGCAGAAGATAGATGCATCTCCTCCATGCATAAGCAGCGTGCTCAGATTTGGAAATAATATTCCGGCCATGGTGTAAGAGCAGCTTTGGGCTATATGTGGGAGCTGGATGGACTCAGTCTGGTGACTTCCTGGCTAACACCTATGTAGGAAGGGAGGGCCGGGGTGTGCATCATATCTTATATCTTTCTCACATAGCCTCCTTGGTTGGTAGAAGAGAGAGAGAGGCCTTTCCCTGAGGTGCAGCCAGGGTCGGGGTGGTGACACAGCTGACAAGGAGGATTGCCTGCATGGGTGCGATAAATTATTTTCCTCAGGAGTTGTCTTTCTGCCTCTGCACTGAGAAGTGTTTATGTAAAGCCGGCTGCCAGCTGGATGGCAGACGTACGTGCTGTGAGCCTCACAGCCCCGTGTGACTGGGGGCCTGTGTTGTGCCTGACAACACGCAGTGGGTGCCTACCCAGCCGCCCCCAGCCTCCTGCCACCTTCCAATCAGGTTGTGTTCAGGTGCCTGCCCCTGCCCAGAGGTAAAGGACTATTGACGTTCACCCCACTCATGACACTCAGCTCTGACTGCACTATCAAATCAACTAGAAAGCTGTGAACAAGGACCAGCGTGCGGGACCCACCTCTCGAGCCTAAATTTTAAATTTAAAACAGCATATATTTATTATAAATAAGCAACGTGCTTTATTAATAGTGAAGTATGTTGTGATTTGGAAGGGGGCTGGAATACGAGGGCGCTCTGGCTGACTTGCCCTTAGAAGGTGGGGTCTGGCCAGCAGAGGTGGCCCACTGTGGCCCTCCCCCCGGTAGAGTTTCTTTCCCTGCTCGGCACCTCGTTTCCCTCTGCTTCCTGGCTGCTGTGAGGCGAGCAGCTTTCCTCCGCCCAAGCCCTGCCCCCAACCATGTAAGGACTCAAACTTCTAAACAATGAGCCAAAATTAACTTCTGCTCCTTTCAGTTGTGGGTGTTGGGCTTTATGTCCCAGTGACAAGAAAGTGAGTAAGATGATACACATAGCATAAAATCCTCCATCTTAACCACTCCATACTGTACAGTACTGTGGGCTCCAGTAGGAAGTACATTCTCAGGGTTGTGCAGGCATCACCCGTGCAACTACTCCAGGCTCCTCATGTGAGAGGAACCACCTCTCCCCAGACCTCTTTCTCATCTTGTATTCCTGACACTTGACACCCACTAAATAATAACTCCTCTCTCCTTCCCATAGTCCATCCATTGCCTTCTGCTACTAGAAATTATGTACTACGGTGTCCCAAGCCATGCTCTGGTGCTGCAGCCTGACTCATACTGGGCCTGAGCCTAAGTCAGGATCCAAAATCCACATCAACTACAATCATGTGTGTGACAGAAGTTCCGGGATCTGACAGTGGAATGGGACAGGGATGGGAGGAATAGATGCGATGTGCCAACTTCTTCTGGCTTAGATGCTCCACAGTGAATGGCTGTACCTTATGGTAGTGGTGCGGGCCTGTAATCTGCACTCTTGAGGCTGAGGCAGGAGGATCATAATCCAGCACAGCCTGTGCAATTTAGAGACATAGTGAGACCCCGTCTAAACAAATAGGGTTGGAGTTGTAGTTCAGTGGGTCAAACCAAACCAAACAAAACGAGAGAGAAAGGCTGTGCTGATTCCTTCCATCTGAATGAGAGATGATCTTCCCACAAATATCTGCTTCTCCATCGCCATAAGCCACTTTTAAAAGAAAAACGTAGCCATATTTTTATTGAAGTGGCTTTTGTGTGCTCTTTGTTCACTTCTGTAGCTCCACATTCTTGTGTTTAGTTTGGTTTTAATTTTAACCTGAGTGTCCAAGATCCTTTTTATGAAATACTATAGAAATGAGAAAGTAGCCCCAGGGAAGTCACCCTTAAGAGTTCTGAATTCCACCTTGAAATCCGCAGGTGGATTTGGAAACAACCGCCTTGCCATGCGGCACACTGTGCAGCAAACCGGGAGTGCCCTCCTCACCAGGGAAGAAATGAGCAAAGATACACCTTGGCATGTAGCATACCAAAACTAGGATGGGTCAAAGGGGAAAGGAAGGAAAGCAAAATGGAGAAAAATGCAAGTTAGCGCTACTATTAGTGTCTCTTAGTTCACTGATGCGGAAGGTTCATGCTAATATCGATTGGAGAAGTTTTTGTGCCCATATCTTCTACTCTGAGTAACTACTTTGAAGATGACAATATGCAATGCATTAACTCTTGTTATCTCTTAGGATTGTGGTATAGCATTCTGTTTTACCTTTTTTCCATAAAATAAAAAAAAGAAAGAAAATGTGATATGTGTACACGATGGAGTACTACTCAGCCATGGAGAAGGAGAAATAGGAATCATTTGTAAGAAAATGGATGCACTTTGAGACCACAATACTATTAAGTGAAATAAATCAGACACACAAATATCACGTGGTTTCTCTTCTGTGAGAAACCCCAAAGAGAAAGAATTTAAAGAGCAAAATGAGAGGCAGATAGGAAATAGGGAGGTTGACTGTGTGGAGATAGGAAGGTGAGGGAGACATGAGGGCAGGGAGAAGGGGAAGAAAAAGTGATTATGATGCGAATGCAGATGCACCGGTTCCCCAAGATGAATGTGATGAGTGTGCAGCACAAACATACACTAACAAAAATGGAGAAGCTGTACTAAAATTGTTTACCTCAGATACTGAGTTTTGGGCATTCATTACATTTTGTGCCTTCCCTGTGTCATCCGAGGGTGGCCCTGGCTCCCGTTGCAGTTGGCATCTCCTTTGCTTTGTCCCTGGTAACCACCCTTCCGCCTTTCTAGGATTACCCACTCTGGGCACCGAGGAGCAACGCAAGAAGGTCCCGGAGGGGTGGCCTCCTTGCAAGGTCCTTGGCTAATGTTAATCTTGGGGCCCTGCAGTCAAAATGAAGTAAACGCACAGGGCACATTTGTTTTTAAAGCAGTCTTCTTCAGTGATGGTAATGAGCGACCCTGTGATTAACCGAGGCCAACTTTATGCTCTTCGGCTGCTGTGCAACCAGATGATGCATGAGACAGTGGAGTTTTCAAGGGATTTTAACTGTGCTCACTGTGGCAGCCCTGGAAAAAAATTCCTAAGGTAATAAAAGAACGGATGAAGGACCTCTTAACCAGGGATGTGTCTCCCTGTTCCCTCCACTACCTCCAGACTAAAACAGCATGCAGAGGAGAGAAGTCAAGGGCCCAGGTGCCTCTGATTGGCAGGGGCTTAGCATGTGAAGCCATGAAGACTTACGCATTTCCGCCCCAACTTCACAAGGACCGCAGTGACTGCTGCGTCCACCCACATCCTTGATTCTGAGTGTTCCACGTTGCTTGTTGCATCCACAGTTAGCCAATGGGAAAAGAAATTAGCTAGGTCCCCTTTGTCATCCAAGCCATTGGTCAAGTCTTCGGGATCTTTACATTTTACCACTGTTTCTATGCGAGCATCCTGATGTAATCACTGAACTCCCTCATCAGGGGAGAAATATAATTAGGGTGGACCCTTGACTTGCGCGCTCAATTTGTTCCCGAGAGCGGGTTGTAACTCAAGTTGTCAGTTGAAGGCTCAGGCTCCTCCACACGGCCTTCAAAGTCTCTCTCCGGTACCCAGGTGGATCTCAGTGTCCTTAGAGAGCCTTTGGCCCATGATTTCTCAATTAACCTCATACAGGAAAGGATGCTGTAATGTTCCTGCCGGAACTCTTTAAAGGTTAAATCTGTATCTGAGACCATCTGGAAGCGCAAGTGGTCAGAATCTGGTCATAACTCAAGACTTTGGTCATAAGTTAAAACTAAAATTCTGGTCATGACCCAATGTTGTTCCTATGGCAGGCCAGTTGTAACTCGAGGGTCCATTGTATATATGCAAATGATTTTATAAATAAATAGCATGAGGAAGACAAATGGAGTGCAATTATTCAGTCGCCAGGCGCCCTGCCCACACAGCCTTACCAGGACTGTATGCATCCCAGTGTAGAGTCTGCTGAGACACACCAGGGTGGAAAACAGCACAGCCATCGCCAGCCCCAACACAAAAGGGTACTGTGGGGGGGAGAAGAGAAAATGGGAAATTAGAACATGCGCAGATACCTACGATGTGGCAGCATAGGTGGTAAGGATTCACTACACTGTCACTCCCAGTCTGCCCCATACCCTGGAGCAGCAATCCACTACCTGACATTTCAAACATAGGGCAACAGACGAAAGGGAAGGCCAAGGTGCCAGGAGCACTGCTGTGGGAGAATTTCCCAGCATCTAAACAGGCGAACGACAAGCAGAGCTTGGTTTCAAGACTCCTCACCACCACTCCCGTGCTGGCATTTGTGCTGCAGTAAATAATTCTTAGTTTTATCTAGTCTTTAGTTAGAACTTGAAAAATAAACTGTTTGACCAAAAAGCAATGTAATGGGCCAGTGCTATAGTCTAAAAGTCTCAATAAATAGCCTCTCCTTCTGAAGAGAAAAATGAGTCCAAGTTAAAAAGGGGTGTACAGATGTCAAAGCAAGAGTCTAGACTCCGTGAAACTTGAGGCTGCTTCTGAGCAGAAATAGCAGCTGGAGCACTCTGGCCTGTGCTGAGCCACATAAGGAACGCTGAGACTCTGCTTGTAAACACGATGTAGAGCTATAACCCTTTTGCTTGAAGGCATCTGTGATCCACTTGCCCCTGTGCTATTTCACAGTGATGAAAACAGAGCAAATAGAGCGCTGTCTGTACTTTGTTTTCCTCTGCCACTTCATCTTCACATGATCCTATGAAATACGTTCTATTCTCAGCTCCCCTAATCACGATAATAAATTACATTAGCATTGAACTTTGTCACAAGAGGCTTTTCCCTCAATCATTCCATTTGATCCACAGCAGAAGCCAGGGCTTGGGGAGGGGAGAGAAATGATTCCCCACAATCAGTGACAGAGTTAGAACCAAAGCCGTGGCTTCCAAGTCCGGTGTGTTGTTTCACAGGTAATACGCGAGTATAAAAACACTGGGTTATATATCTTCTCTTAAGAGTTTTTTAAAATTTTGAGGCACAGTCTTGGTAAATTATCTGGGCTGGCCTTAACCTTGGGATCCTCCTGCCTCAGCCTCCTGAGTAGCTAGAATTACAGACGTGTGCCACCATGCCCAGCTTCTCTTAAGGTTTGTCACTGACTGCATCTCAGATTTGAATCAAAAGCTGCTAAAAATTAATGAGTTCATGTATTTTGAAGTTACATTTGGGCCAGTTGGCTCAAGTAAATACATATTTAGAACTGTGTATTAGAAAATAACCTAAGTCGCTAAACGCAGAGTCTGTCAAAAAAGGTATACACACTCCAGCAGCTTGCCATACTAATTAATGCCTGGAAGCTGAGGGCCACCATCTGTAATGGCAGGAGCCAAAGGGACTGCACTAATCTCCTGATGCCTCAATAAATTCAACATTACAATATTTATCATTCAAAATCAAACAGAAAAGAAACTGACAGTAGAACCGGGGCCTCATGAAAATCAGTGCGTCATGTGACCGAAAGAATTCTTTAGGGAGGAATAAGTGATTTAGATAATAGGACACAGGGACATCAGGTCTTTCTCAAGCGGGAAGGGGATCAAGAGCTGGAGGTACGGGGCAGGGAGAGGAAAGGGGATGAAAAAGGAGTTAAGATGCGTTATGTGCATGGACCAACTCCTCACCAGGAATGTAAACACTATGTGTCACAAACATGTACTAATTGTAAAAATGAGTGTGTGAATGGTGGCTGTCATCACTGTGGTTGTTTTTACTTCATTCCTACAGCCTGCTTCTCCTTACTGCTTTTTCTCCTGGTAACATTAGCATGCTCACAGAGAGGCAGACAGCAGCCCCACAGAGGCAGGCTGGCACTCAGCCCACCATGTCACAGGGGGACAGGTGACCCAGCGTACTGCAGAGCCCAGAGGTCTGCATCTTGATAATCCAGACCGGACTGAGAGCTCAGACACTGTTTACTCCTAGCATGGCACTTAAGTAAGTCATTGTCATGACTTACACGGTCATGATTATATCTGGTTGGATAAACCCTTATAAGAGTCCCTGTATCATTAGAGAATGCAGGTCACCCCAGGGGGCCAGGTAGAAGGCTAAGAAGCAGAGCAGATGCCTGGCACTAGTCCTGACCTCTTCCCACCACCTCAGGCTCAGGCCCCCCCTCTGCATAATGCAGAATACACACTTCTTGATGCTTGGGGTAAAAGGGAAGGGCGAAACAATACTGCCATCCACCTATCAGACTGCTGGATTTCGTAAAAGACAAAACTTCCAACAGCTAAACGGCAAAATAAATGAAATTAAGCACAAAATTGAAGCAGCATGTCTCAAATAGAAGAAAACAATGCAAAAAAGAAAAAAAAAAACCTTCACCGAAGTAGTACTCCAACTTTAAAAAGTTGTATTATAATTGGCATCTAAGCAGATAGTAAGTAAAGTTCTGTTTTCAACATTTATTAATCTCCTGTCATTTAGAAAGTTCTGAAACAATTTGGAGCCATCACTTCTGACGGCTGAGCCCTCAGCAGGGCAGAGGCATCCTTGGAGGGTAATTTGGGGTGCAGACTCTTTCCCGCCCCAGGCCCTGGGGAGTCTGGCAGGGGGATTTGGAGGAATCATCTCTGCCCCGCAGGATCATTCTCCAGGCTCAGAAACGCTTTGTGTCTGTTGCGAATGGAGTTAGAGCACAATTGCAGTCTGTCTCAGCACAGCTCAGCATAAAAATGCTTCCTGGGGGAGGGAGGTGACACACGTAGGTCACCTGGGCAGCCTGTGATCCACTGGCTGTCCTGATGTGATTACTAATGGTACCCACTTTCATTCCCAGCAAATCTGCTGGAGTGCTGAATCATATGGTCACTTTATTAAGGAAGAAATTGTCAACAACAGCTCAAGAGGTTTCCTTTCCCCTTAGTTCTTACTCACAAGCTTTAAAGTCCCTCAAAGCATTCTTAAGAGAAATTTGTGCATTGCACCTGTGCTCACAGAACCATTGTTTGGAGTCGGGTTGCCTTACCTGGTATCTGTCCATGGTGGAGATCAGCAGCGTGAAGGAAATGGCGGTGGCTGCCATGGCGTGGGTGGATGGCATCCCGAACTCAGCCATTACTCTCTTTTCCAGTTTCACCACGGGAGGGGAGGAGGGGCGGGGCCACTTCAAGATGTCTTTGGCTACCTGACCAACATACATCACCAGCTGCGAAAACACAGGACTGAAGTAAGTCTACCAAATAAGGAAAATAAGTGAGTTTCGAGATGTTGACAGATTTACTTTGGGTCCCCAGTTTGTTAGTTAAAGACTTCTTTCTCTCTGACCAGTTACTTATTGGGAAAGTCCTGGAGGGTGATATCTTCGCTGGTAAATAGACACCAGGCTAGCAGGGTCTGGTAATGCAAGCCTGTATCCCAAGCATGCTGGGAGGCTGAGACAGGAAGATGGAAAGCTCAAGCCTGGCCTGGACAACTTAGTGATTTAGTGTGACCTAGTCTCAAAAAATGAAAAAGGGGCTGAGGATGTAGCTCAGTGTGAAAGTTCTGGGTTCAGTTCACAATAGTGGAAAGAAAAGAATGAAAGAAAG